AAAACAAGCCACATTTCTTATCAGCCATCAACATTAATTTTCCTTCAAAACAAGAACTCACCCCCGTTTAAATACAAAATTTCCCATATATTTAACGATTCAAAAAAGAAAAAAAAAAAAAAAAGAATTAGAAAAACATGGCTCAGATTGAATGCCATTCTCTTTGAATCTCACGATTAACAGGAAAACAGAAGAGAGACCTCTGCAGGCGACGCGAAAAAGAGAGCATAAACTCTCGTGGGACAAAATTGAAAAAACCAAACTTAACAAGCAGGAGCTGACTGTTGGTCTGCCTGGCTATCTGGAACAAATTCGAGAGGCTGGTTTTCTGTGTTCTGCATTTGTGACTGAGAAGCATTTAGCTTTGCGGCCTTGTAGCTGCTTGAGCTTCTAAGGATTTTTTCCAAGGTCCCACTAGAGCTGCTCCAAGATGAACCAATACATATTGTTAGATAAACACAAATTACTGGAAAATAGAACTTAGACAAACAGATTTGTTTTAAACTTGACCACGGATTGGATATGAATTTTTGTTCTTTCATTCTATTTCTTTTTCAAATTTTTAAAAAATTTCAAAACACGTTCAAAGTTTAAACACAACCAAAATTTACTATTTAAACAGCAGAAACATATATGTAAAATATATTCACCAAACTTTTGCATGTAAGCAGATTCACCAAATGCATAATTATTATAACCAGAAAGAAGTCTTATAGGGTTTAGACTTTTGATTGACAAAAAGTTAACCTAAATGTGCAACTAAATTGCCAACATTAGCACCAGGAAAAAAAAGAAAAACAGATTGATCTCACAATGATAAAATTAAACTTACAATGAATTTGTGATGTTTCTTCCACCACTTTCTTTCCTTTTTGAGCCACTAGTTCCTGCAACAAATTTGAAATTAAATAGAAGAAATTAGCTGCAACTACCCACCAGGGAAAAGAAAGTAGTAATAACCACAAAAAGACGAAAATATTGTACATTAGAATATGTTTCATGTCAAAGAAGACAATGTAGTCAGAAACCACTCTACAAAACACAGCTTATGAACTAAGCTTTCAGGAGAACACTTTGACAAGATTATTAGTTATCTACAAGTTCTGACAGTTCAAACAATGTCAACCAAAGATGTTGGCAGGGACTGAAACGAAACAACAGACAATCTCTCAGCTAAATTTTAAAAAGGAGACACATAATCCACCATTAACAAAAAGAACAAGTGTACAACCTAGTAAACATCTCACCAGCTGTGCAGACAGTTTTTAATCATCATCACTTATTGATTATTCATCTTATAGTCTAAGAGCAGTGACAAAAGAACAATGAAAACCATTGGTCAATAAACTTACAATACAATTAGTCTGGTAATATTAAATACATTCAAAATTCAAGATGTTAAATTACCATTCTGTTGCGCACCGCTATCCCCATCTGAGTAGTCAGATGACAAGGAATTATCAGATGGAGTTCTGGTGCTGGCATCTGAATTATATACCCCATCTTCATCATCTGAACTCTCATAACTATCTTCCTTAAAAATTGAGCCTGATGTAGCTAACAAGCTCTTCTTATGTTGTGAGCTATATACTACTTCCCCATTATAGTATTTACTGGAAACATCTCCAACGTCCAAACGAAATTGATGCCTGTCACCCCTTTGACCTTCGGGAAGTATGTTTTTAGAACTAGACAAGCTAGAGTCTGATGCAGCAATGTTTTGTTTGCTTTTATCTGAACGAGTATGTGTTGCAGAACCATTGACAGCATTGGGCCTTGTAGCTTCCTCTTTTTTTGATAACTTACCAGAGTTGTTTTTAGCCTCACTTCCAGAGACTCTTGCCAGCTTTGTTTTAGGATGAATCTTTGGGTTATCACCCTCACCCTTTGACAATGATCTCTGTGGTTCAACACTGCTAGAGTCAACAGCTTGAACTTTTCCTCCACTCCTTTGGTTCTCAAATAACTTCAGTGTATTTTGTAAATCGGGTGAGGGGCCATTAGAGTGTGCATCAAGTTTTTTCTTCTTCTTGCTGGCTTTTACCTCTTTCTCTACTCCTTTTTTTTCCGTCACCTTTTGAACAGGCATATTGTGAGAAACATCAATCAGATGCTGTTGTTGGTTGGGCACAAAATTATCATTAACGATAGTCCTATCACTTTCACAGGATGCTTCCATTTTATTATTAGCTTCATTTGAACGGCCACTTGTAGGGAAATTACCATTTTGATCTTGAAGAGGACTTGTTTCAATGCCAGTATTATTTTCAGATTCCAGATTTGATCCATTTAGCTTGTTTTCAGAACTTGTCTTCACTAAGCTTGCCTTCTTCGTCAATTTCAATGATGCATCCACCTTCGCGTCCCTAGTGCCATCAGTTGACAGCGTCACATTCTTACAACTAACATTTTCATCTTCTTCTAGCAATTCTGGTGGGTTCTTAGCAGCAGAATTTCGTTTTCTCTTGGTTTTCTTTCTTGATTTCTCATCCTTATTTTCCGCATTCATTGGGATTTCGCTGATATCCTTCAAGGATTCCAACACATTTCGAATCACATTATCAGAATCCATGTCATTAGCCAAAACAGAATTATTCACTGCTGTCATTTTTGGAATTTCTTTCCCCTTGACTGGGGACATAAAGCTTTCCTCTTTCTTAGATTTATCACTTGAATGATCGGTATGAATTGTCTCATGTGGCTCGGTTGAAGAAATGCCAATCCCAGAACCTGTTTTATGCTTCGTAACCGATGAAGAAGGATCCTGAGATTTTTTGGACTTCCTTTTTTTCTTTGAAGATTTTGGAGGTTCTAACTTTACATTGGTATCCCGGTCCACATTTCCATTAGCATCAACCAAATTAGAAGCAACTACTACTTCATCACTGCCTGAAGGGGTGACCTTTACTGGGGGCATTGCTTCTGAATCTTTACTTTGAGACAATTCTTTTCCTTCTGCAACTCTGCCAGTTTGATCACCTCCAAATTTCTGACAATCATGAACAATGACATTCTCACACTTGGTAACCCCTGAATTCTTATTAAGACTACTAGCCTCTTGGACAGGGAGGGGAGGATTGCCTTCTGCTTCACCGACATGATGATCCACTGAAATTCTCATTTGTTTTGCTGCAGATGGAGCTGTTAATTCAGGTGAAACATTCTTGCTTTCAACATTGCCGACACCTTTGCCACTTGTATCAACTTCTACAAAATGGAAACCAGTATGAATATCAGCAACTCATGTCTTTGTTTTCTCACAAATAAAGAAACTGAAGTCGAATAAAAATTTGATTTAATCAAAGACAAAAGCCACATAAAATCGCACATCAAAACAACAAAAGGACCTTACCTAATGAACAAGGTACTTTATTGTTTTCCCCCTCTTCTTGCAGGGGAACATAAAGATTTTTCTTCAAAGGCACTGAATATGGTTCAGAAATCGTGGCACCATGGACACTTTGTGAAGGAAGAACTGCTGCATCATGTTCGTTTTCCAAATTCCTGTGATGAACTCCAACAGTGTCCCCAGGGTGCACCCTCCTCTCATCTTGTGCAGAAGAAGGAACTGCAGCTACAACTTGATCAAGAAATTTTGATGATTTCTTTTTTCTTTTCTTTCTTCCACTGCTTGCATCGGTTGTCAACAAATTGTCATCCTTCGACATTTCAGAAGATAAATGGTCCAAGGTAGTGTTTGTGCCTTTTTGTTTGTTCCCAAAAGAGCACTGAGAAATTGTAATCTCTGGCACCAAGGTCTCTCTAGTAGAATCACATGCCAGAAGCCTGTTTTCTTTTGAAGAATTTCCAATCTCATCTTTCCTTGCAGTCTTCTGCTTTTTATTAGCAGCAGGCCTGGGTGAAGCTTCTTCCAATGATGTATTGCACTTCGCATTAACATCAACATTCTTAGAAGTATCGCACTCAAAATTTTTTCCTGAAGCTGCAGTTCCCTCATAGAGAACATCAGTCATCAGCAGCTCCCTGCCTGATTTCTGGTTGATATCAGAAGCTGAAATCCTGCAATGTTCATCAGCATTATATTTGCTTCCCATTTGCATATCACGAGTAACTACTGTACCTCTACCGTCAGTGACCAAAGAGTTATCCAGGACCATGTCTTGCTGTGATTCATCTTCATCAGATACATGAGCTGGCACATTCTCTTCGTTTGAAATATGGTCACTTACTTCATCCTCCCTCCTCCTTTTTGCTTTAGGTTTTTTCTTCGTCACAGATACAGTTTCTGGAGCCCCTTCCATTGCATTGAATTGCACATCATTAATTCCATTCCTGAAGTTGTTTTCCTTACATTCAGTACATGTTATGCTATCTTTACTAGAACGTTTCTCCTTTAACTTCATATCTGACCTATTATTGTTATCCAGAGCCAAGATGTTGCAAGTACTCTGAGTAGAAGGTTTCTGTTTTCCATTCTGGTCTCTGTGAACTTGTGTCAATGTTGAATCATCAATATTGGACAACCTTCTGGGAGAAGCATCAGCCAGAAGAGCAACCCCATCAGCTGAAGGATTACCTGTGATGCCACAAGAGGCTCCTAGGTGTCCAAAATTGGATTTCCCAGTATGCTGGTTTTCACTCTGCTCCTCTACAATTGAAGCATCAACAGAAAGAAACCAGCTTTTGCTGACTCCATCAAATGCACTTTTTACAAACATGGAATCTGATAAATGATAAAAGTGTCCTTTACGTTTAACCTGTTGAATTCACAAAACCCCAAACCCCATAAATGTAAGCCATGTAATCAACAGGTAATATAATCAACAGCCTTAAACTGCAAGATAAAGAAGTCACCTTTAAAGCATGAATTTTAATCCCACTAATGTTAGGAAAGCACAATGGGTATTCATGCAGTATTCTCCCTGCACCATCAATAGCATAAATAAGTCATTAGAAACAGAATCTAAAAGTTGAAAGTAGTTAAACAAAACATAAACGTTTTAAGGATTGCAAGCTATTCATAATGTAATTCAAACTTTGCTACACAACTAATTCTCAAGTCTTTAGATTGTAATAAGACAACAGAAGCTATCAACTCCCACAGATAAAATTTTTCTACTGATTCTAGACCTTGGCACAAATTTTTTTCTCAATATCTATAAAACCCAGTAACTAAATTTCTAATGACAACTTATCTACATCTTCAAATATGAAAAAATATTCTTCTTCAATTAAAATGACTTATCAAGATTGATTAATTACTACTTACTTAACACTTCAGTCTCACAAGAAATACTTTTAAACGGAAAGATAGCACAAGCATCATCTGAAAATTCACTCTTTAGTTATATTTCTCTAGTTACTCCACAAAAGAGATTAAAAAAAAAGGCAAAAATTAGGAGTCTTTTCGTATTAATTATAATCATGGAATTGCCGCAACAAGAACACTTTGGAAACACAAAGAATTAAGTGTAAATACTTTTGAGGTCCGAAACAGTGTCGGAACCGGAGACGATCATGGCCAAGTGGGTATCGAGGCTGGTGTCTATGAAGACAGTGTTGTAGGTAGTGGTTCCGCCAGAATCAGAAATAGAAGTGGGTTTCTCCATTGATAGAATCAGATAGAAAAAAAAAAAAGTGAACAATGTATATATGAAGCGAGAAGTGCCGAGGAGAAGAAGCTAAATGCTTGTGTAGAATGGAGGGGTTTTGTGTTGAGGGTTTGGCTTTGGCTATGGTGGCATAGCATCAATTGGAAGGAACCGCGCTCCTTACGTCTCCAAGTCTAAAGTGCCGAATCGGGTCAGACATGGCCCGACCGTCCACTTGGCCCAGGCCCGGGTCAACAGCAACATAATTTTCTTTTATATCTGAGATATTCTATAGTAGCTAAAATTGCATTCCTCACACATTGTTTAGAAGTGCAAACATTAAAAAATAATTTTTCATCATCTTTAAATAAAATTTCTTCTTGTGAGTATATTTTCTATTGTATTATAAGCTGTTTTTTAAAACCCGGCTTAGCTCGACCAGTTCAACCGGTTCAATGGGGACCCAAGGCCTTTACCGAATGAGTTTTTAGTTTTGATTGTTCATGATAAACCCTAGAAATTAGGACGACGATCGGCGAACAATTAGTGACTAGAATGTTGGGGTTTTTAAAGAGAAATGATCAGTGAGTCGAAAGGTGACAACAAAGGTGATTTCCAGTGTGAAATGACTAGAAATCGCAAAAATCGATCACCGAAAACAGCGGGTTGTTGTTGACTTGTTGACGATTGGTAAGGCGAAAGAGGGTGGGGTGAGATGGGTTTTGGTCAGGAGGCTGAGAGAAGAGTATTTGTGGTGACGCTGGAAACAAGCCCTATTTGGCATAGGTTGTCGACACTGGCGGTGCAATTTAGGATGTTTTTGTAGGATTTTAAACCTATAGGAACTTATGATAATTTTTAAAGGTGTTTTTGCTAAATTTCAATTCTTTTACATGATAAACCGTCAGTCAAACCGATTAACTCGAGACCTGGCCACTTTGCCAGATTTCACCCCAGTTGGGTTTTAAAACACTGGTTATAAGAACTAATCTATCAATTTTGATTTTTACATTTTTATGATAATTGGTATAATAAAAATTCTATTGGGTTGCATATAGCTGCATCTAAATTTTATTTAGTCCTCATTCATATATAATATCAAAAAGGGGGGGTGACCTTCGATGAAAACATGCAACTTACATAAGTCAATGATTGTAGATTGAGTCAAAATGGTGAGTGCTCACTACAATATGAAGGCTTAAATTTGGGCCATTCTATTTCTATCTCATTTGCAGACATTTCTAATTTGCATGAACCTGAGAAGCAACAACCCACCACGATTTCTTCCATGAATTCAAGTACCATGTATAACTTGTGATTGATGATGTACATTAAATATCTCAAGATACGAAAAAGGGTTTTCACTTTTCCATCTCAAACATCTACTACAGAATGGGAAGTTCAAGACTATTAAATAACTGCAAGGAAAATAAAGAGAAGTTTTGATCATAATACACAACTCAAAATTAACCATTAACACCAACTACAATTTGAGGAAAATGTGTGGAAGGAAGATAACTATTCCAACCATACAACTAGTTTTTTACTTTTTTAAGGTTATATCCACTAATCAGACTGCGTATCCTCGCCAACTTCCCCAACAAAACAATAGATAATAAAACTGTCTATTCCTTCTTCCTTGAATCTTTGAGTTGTCCTCTTTTTCTAACCCCAAGGTTAAACTTCAGACGCCAGGCATCGATACCACTCTCTGGCAGTAAATTCAGCAAATACCAGAGGAAGGAATGAGGCCAGTAGGGTGTGCAACGAGGTTCATAACCTATCCACCGCATAGCTGCCCGTGCATAACCATCAGTTGATGGAACAAAGAATGAAGATCTCTTGATTGACGCCATCTTGGTTGCCACATATAATGGAACCTGTATACAGATAACTCTCAGTTAGAGAAAATAAATCAAAAACAGGCAAATAGAAAAGTTAGTTCCAATAGCAAACTCTTGGTTTATGAACATCTTAATTGCTTAAGACATCACTGATTGGTGATAAGCACCGAAGTTTTTTCACATTAAACAGAACTGTCTACAGAATTTAATATCGACAAACTATAACTCACCCTAGACGTTGGCCCTACTTCTACCGGTTAGTAGCTAAAACCTCAAATGCTAAAGGATATAAGCAGGTGGGATAACAAAATGTCTATTTCCACAGCACATAACAGTCTCATTTATTTCCTCATCTTGTCTATTATTTCTGCCATCTGAAGTTGCAAAAGAGCAATTCAGTTGTAAGCAAGATTCAGTCTCACTACCCATCTTCATCTGATATGCTTATCATGAAGAGCATCACAACTATCAGAAAGCAAATCTAAGTAAAGCTGATAATCTGTTCAGTGAAAAGAATATGATTTACAGAGTACAGAGCCTTGTCAATTTGCTAGTAAACAACCGCTTCAGCTAATCTAATAAGACTTCATAACAAATGATCCTATTCATTTACTAGAATATTGACTGGAGAAAACACAAGAAAAGACAATCTCTAACAAATATTCTAATAAATGCTTCAAGTCGTGAACAGATTGAGCATCTTCATTTGAAAAAAAGAAACGTGACATTGTGAACAAAACAGCATAGTTGAATTAAATTAACCAACCATGACCAACATATCAGATTTTCAGAAAGAAAAGCAAGCTTCTACCTAATACTCCAACTAGCTAATCATCTTGTATATCTTTTTTGCGTAAAGAAATGCATGCTGGAGAGCTATTATTCATAAATATAGGTATGAACCAATCACAGCCACTTGATTCTAGAAAAACATAGAGTGCTGTTCTGCCTCTAATAAACAAAGATTTGATTGGTTAGCAGTTACTTAAGCAAGTCAAGTAGTGATGCAAAGAGTGGCTGAAATCTATAATCTGATATGAAGCTCAACAAGTTTCAACAAAATTGATCTGCTAACATTAAGCTTCTACCGAAAACATATATTAATTTGGAAACCACTCACATATAAAAACGTAAAAAAGAAAATTGATGCAGAAGAAATCATATTATTTTGCCGTACAACTCTTATACTTGCTACTAAAAGTGCTAGGATAATGACTTGAAACATTGCAAAAGGTACCTGACACTGCACATCAATTCCGCTTTTCTTATATTCAACATACAAACACCTTGAAAATTGATCGATATACCTGAAAATTACCACAAAAAAAAAAAAAAAAAAAAAAAATTACAAAAAAAGTTTTTCACCACTCGGACATTGAAAAAAATAATCGTTCTACAAAAATCAAAATGAACAAAAATAAATAAATCCTTACGCTTTTGTGGCGGCATAGACAGAATACAGAGGATCAGAAGGAATTATAATGGCAGCACCAGAACCAAGATTAACAATAGCACCTTTCTTCCTCTTCAACATCCCAGCCAAAACCGCTTGAGTAACCTTAGTAGTACCTTCAACGTTAACCTTAATCAAATTATTCAACAACTCCTCATCAACCTCGTGAAAAAACCTTGCATAAGGGTATGAAATTCCGACATTGTTAATCAAAACACCAACATCCAATCCCTCAATAACCTCTTTAATTTTATTAACACCCTCATCAATATCACCACTGAAATCAACAACAACACTCTTGATCTGGGTTTTGCCATACTTAGCCATAATAGAATCCGAAACATCTTCTAGTTTATCAGGATTACGGCCAACAAGGACAAGATTAAGTCCTTTTCTAGCCAACTCAAATGCAAAACCTTTCCCGATACCATCGGTGGGTCCAGTCACAACAGCCCACGAACCGTATTTCTTCAAATTCTTAGCAGGTCTTAGAAAGGAGACATAAACCCAGTAGAGAACACTAAAAGAAAACTTGAAAAGCGAAAGAGAACCAATAGTGAACAAAACAAGAACCCAACGTGGCTGAGTTTTGAGAGTATCAAGAAAACACTGCTCCATGATTGGCATGCAAAGTGTAATCTTTGGATCTTGAAAGAAAAAAACACGGATCTAAGAAGTGGGTATTGTTGAGAAGAGATAAATAATGTGAGTGTTGGGAGTATTGGTAATGAATTTCGGTGAAGTTGTTGAACGGAGAAGAGTCTATGATATGAGGATTAGGCAGAGAAGGATGGGGGAGGTTGGGGAATTGAAGTTAATAGAGGTGGGTGAAGTAGATGAGCTGAAAACCGCCGCATTTAACTAACGGTGCCAGACATTTAACTGGTCTGATTTGAAGTCAAACATGCTTTCGATTTTGCTATTTGTGTTTCTCAGTTTTTCTTTTATTTTTTTAATTTATTTTTTATGTTATTTTTAATCGCTTAAACCCCTGAAGTATGTTAACAAAAAGATCCTAATGTTTCTGAAAATAAAAAAATTTTCTCGGTCGTTACTCGTTAGTATATCATTTAAGAGTTAGTAAATTACCAAATTACCCTTATGCCATTCATTTTAACAACGAGAGAGTTTTTGTTACTTTATGATGATCTTATCATACAATCATACCTCATGGGGGAAAAGGTAATTAGACTTCGCAGTACCAGGAACAGCAATGGACGTTTAGTTCAAGGGCACACGTGTCAGGTAGTGGTGTGTGAAATTTACTATATTGGGTTCGGTTAGGTTTGGTTTGGTTTGGTTTGGTTTAAGTGATGCCATGCACTGTAATCAGGGAAACAGTCAGCTTTATTTATTTAGTACAGGTACAATTCATTAAAAATTTCATAAATAATATCGTCAAACATAGATATCATCGGGAATGCTTGTCTTGTTATTTTGGACAAAATTTTTGAAATAGGATTAGGCAATTGAGTTAGGTTATTATTACGGAAATAGGATTTGAATAAAATGTGTTTGGTAAAGTATATTGACTTTATTATTTATGATGAGTAAATTGTTAAATATTTATTTGATATATTTTTTTATAAATGATTTATTAATATAATATTTTGGTGTATTTTGTTAAAATAATTTATTATTATAACCTAAAAACTTATCAATTTACATTTTAATAATATTAAATATTTGATTGGTAATTTCATAACCACTAAATATTAAAAAAAAAAACTCATATTAATTTCAAGTACTAATCCAACTGTTTAAAAACATCACATTAATATATATATGACAAAGTTACTAATTATC